AGAGAGAGAGAGAGAGAGAGAGAAGTAACCTTTTCCTTTTTAGGGTTTGATTTGCGCAACCCAAATCTAGAGGGGCTGGCTAATTAGGGTTCTGGAGAGAGGAAGTGGCTTTGAAATCTGCTTTTCAACGCGGTCACCGTCATTATGGAGCGCATATGCTATGCTCTCGCGGGAGCATATTGTGAATCTACTCCATCTCTCTAAACACTTATTTAGGAGTATAAAATTTTTGGAACCCATCATACAAGTGTTAAATGTTTATTTTTGAAATGAAAATTTGAATTCTGAGTTAGCCCTACAAAAATTTGATGGTTTTAATCTAGGGGATTGTGTATAATGAAATCCAATAGTTTGGGTATATAATAAAATTTGAGAATTTTATTTTTTAACGTTGAGTTTTGATCAATGAAATAAATGAAACTACTCACTTTCACAAACAATTGTCAAGATTAATTGTGACCACTTTATACCAAAAGTACATGATCTCATTATATACTTTTCTTTAACCTTGACACATTAGTTTTTTAAGAAAATTGGTTTGATTGGTTGAGAACCCTATCAATATAAGTAAAGCTTCACCTCATAACTCATCGAAAAGTACCGGTCAATTATTGGAAAATCTTTATATCAAACATCTCGGTTTCAACATTATAGTTGTGAAAATAAATAAGATTTCGAGTTCTAAAAATAGTGTATATTTTAACAAATTGTGTAGACCATCCATTTTGCTCTAAAAATAAGTATTCAAAGATCCGCAAGATATATATATTTTTTTGTTTCAAAATTTGTTGTTGGTGTTGAAAATTGATTTAAAACCATTGTGGAGATTTATGTGCCAAAATCACTTTCTTGACAAGAATTTGAGGTGATGTTTTATTTGATTTTTATAAGACCCAGCCTTATAGAAACTTCATCTTTTTTTTAAAGGATTTAAATTATTCTATAGGGTAGTAGGCATTATATGCCGGACATTTAAGATCTAAAAAAATCCCTAACCCGTGATTTGTCCAAGGGACTAAATGAATAAGGGGCTCACGCCGGAGTGGGAGGTCCTTTGGCTAATAATGGGTGTTTAAATAGCGTTGAGAAATAGGGTTTTAATACCGGAAATCTTTGTAATAGCCTTAAAATATAGTTTGATGATTTGATATCAAATTATAAAATTTAAATATTAAAAAATACTATAGATCAAATAGATATATAAAAATTTGAAAATCTAAAAAATTGACAGTCCAAAAATACATTACAAGATACCTTTTTTGTAAAATTTGAACTCCATTTTGTTCTCGTTTCCATGCATCTTGATGCAAGATGATGAATATAAAGATACAACGTCTAATTTTTTATTTGTGTTCTAATTTGATTGTTTAGAGCCTCAGCTCTATATAAAATTTTTCGATAATATTGGGAGAAAGTGGGATCTGGATTTTGTAAGGCATGTACGTATTTTCGATAATATTAGGAGAAAGTGGGATCTGGATTTCGTAAAGCGTGTATGTAAGAGTAACGGCAGTCTGCAAGCCTTCGTCATTGGGCATCTAAATCTTTTCCTTTTTCCCTAATTCGAAACGCGGTTTTGTAAGTTGTTATGCCAAGTTATCCCGCCCGCGCTTACCCAACGCCATCTATCTAT